AGTCACAGACTGTGGACAGGAGGTCTCCTCTCAGTCAGCCCTTCAGAAACGGCACCCAGGGGAGAAGTCAAGGCCTGCAAGGGCAGCAGCCCGGGCAGGCTGCTAAGATTCCCCCTGCAGAGCTGCTAGATCCATTCCAGGTTTTCCCCCTTGCCACATACTCTTTCACAAAGCACATCGGAGAAGCAGAACCACAGCTAAAAGCCATTGTAGTTGCACATTGTAGATTACATGTAAAACAGGGTAACGAGGTGTAAACGCACAGCACCTATTATCAGCTTTTGTAATGAACCTTGGGGCTTACATCTAACTGCTGTACAACAGGAGTCTTCATGAATTCCTTGCAACGCTTTTTCAGATGGGTTTACTCTTTGATCGAAATGCTTACTGAATTACTCCCAATAACGAGCCTTTCTCGGGTCTTAGCAAGCAGTTGCTCATTAAAAGATTCCTAAAAGCTCTGCAGGACTCCAACCCGTGCTTGAACTGGGTTTGTTTGTCTCCGGTACCGAAGGGAGGTGTCAAACCCCTTACTGTGCATTGCAGAATATTCCGTACAAAACCCCTCTCGGTCCGTGAGCAAATTCTCAGCGTCGGGCATCACCTGGCTCCCAGACGTGCAAGTAAGTGGAGGAATTACTTGATGAGTTTCTCTTTCGCGTTATTATACTTGAGGGAAATGACCAGGGTGTGTTCTGAAACATGTTCAACTCCAGATTGAAAATGGCTTTCCCTTCCGGCAGGCCAATGGGAACGTCCAAAAGTGTCCGTCTTCACCCACGATCCGCACGGACATCCGCTTCTGTTCTGTGACCGCGGTGTGGAGATCTGGCTGCCTGACCGCAGCACGGTGCTGGGATTCTTATTAATTCGATAAGTCCGCTCTAGATCTATCAGAGATTTCGGGAAACGGTGGGAAGATATTAGAAAAGCCGAGGCGGAGCTGGAATTCTGCAAGGGCTCGAGTCTTCAGGACCAGGGGCCGAATCACAGCCGGGACCTTTTTTGGGAATGTTTTACAGGACATTTGACGTGAAAATTCTTTTAAGATCACCTTTCCAGTCTTCAACCTCAAACTTGACTTAATGTGGGATAGGATAAGATCACTTTATCAGCCCTATACAATTTCTCGCATTAGGAATGTGTCTTTTCCCAGACCCCAGCTTGCTCTCCCTGAGACACACAGACAGGGAGAGAAGCTGGGGGTCAGAGCACAGGGTCAGCCGTTTATACGGCGCCCCTGGAGCAGTTGGGGTGAAGGGCCTGGCTCAGGGGCCCATCGGAGTAGGATTCCTCTGCTAGGCCGCAGGATTTGAACCGGCAACCTTCCAGCCACAGGCGCAGATCAGAGTTTGGGCCCAGGGCAGGCCTTGAGCCATAGCTGTGGCAGAGGATGAGTGTGGAACGTCAGTGGGCGAGTGGGAGCTGTAGATGTTGGGACACCGAGACGGTGGATGTGAACTGATGACTCGGTGAGGAACTAGACCCCACACACACACACACCAACCCCTCATCACAGGACACTCTTATCGGTTGGGCAGCTGGGGGGGGTCAAAGGTCACTCAGAAGTGTGGCTGCAGCAGAAACTGTTCCGGGTTCATCCCCAGGAAGAGCTGCAGGGAGAGGGCAGCTTCCCGTCTCCCAGGTCCCTGGGGGGGGCAGGAGGCCATCTGTCACACTGCTGTCAGTTTCGTAATGTAGTCATGGTATGTCGTCAACATCGTAAAGACTCAGAGCGTCTGGGGGGCTATTTCGCACTGTGCTACGTGGGTACAGGTAGCTCCTGTGAGCCACAATGACTGGCTATAATTAGCGTGCAAAAGGAAGGTGTGTTCTTAAGAAGAACAATGATCTTTGCCATCTTCCGTCTTCCCTGTCCTGAAGGGACTGTACTCCGATCCCGGTGCGGGATCCTTGTGTGATGATGAGGAGGGGACATTCCGAAGTTACCAAAAAAATACAGCCAGGAGGTTTAATAAGCCTGAGCCCCTCTGTAAGTGAATATAGAGTACTGCGATCCCACTCAAAGGAACACCTGCTGCATGACATCATAATGCAATTACTACCAACCCCCCCCCCCCCCCCCGGACACGCCCCCTGAGGTACACTGCATCCTGGGAAATGTAGTATTTTTTTGCCTCAGCTATTTAAATAGTGAGAAGTAACCTTAACCCGCACCAATACTTATTAGCGTGCTTTCTTAATATGACTGACAGTAAGAAAACCTCCCTTCATTTATTCATTTTCCTTTCAAGAGGGAATTTAAAATTTAGACCGTTTCGGTATGAGATCTGTGGAACCCAGCTCTTTATCAGAACCTTAAACATATATCCTGTGCCAATGGAACTGAATTTCAAGAGCAAACACTTACCAACTTGATTAGTTCTGGCAAGAAGCAGTCTACAGAATAAAAAAATACACAGAGCACCAGAATACCGCGTATGAATTTACTGTTTGTAAATGTTAGCCAGTTACCAAGCTGGGCACTGTACTACCTTAAATGATTAAAAAGCGACTTGTGATGTTATTGTGCTGTAAAAACGCCACAGGCAGCTTTCATTATATGAAACCCTTCTGCTGTGTTTGAACAAAGACGACCAGCTGAGGTTGGGGCTGACAGCGAAACCAGATTATTCGGAAGGCCCGCCCGCAGGAGAGCAGACGGTGTGGAGTCCAGGTGTCGCCCACAGAAACACGCAGCCCCCATGCGCGACCCCGCTACCTCTGGAGCACAAGAGCACATCGGTCAGCCCGGAGCGCGCACACGTCAATCGCGTGACTCCTAGCCCCACGGAGCGTGGAAACCAATCTGGATCTGTACTCCTAGAGCACTCGGGCCGGCGTCTAGAGAGTCTACAGACTACTGCTGAATGATCTCTTGGAAATAAATCGTTTTTATTTTTTTCGTTTTCTACAATCACGTTTCATAATCACATTTTGATGCGCAAGTGCGCAGTTTGGAGTGTTTTTTTTTTTAAAGCGGCCCTGCTCAGCAAAGGAACCAGTAATAGGTTTATTCCCTGCTGAACAGAGACGGCGTGTGTCCGGCAATTATTTCTTTATTAGCCCTGACGATACAGGACGCCGATGTCGCCTCCACCGTTTGCCTGGCGGGGAGCGTGAAGCGGCACCGCCAGTTCAGGAGGGCTGTGTGGTGTAGCAGAGCCGCTCAGCAGAACCCGTCCGGCACCGGCGCTGGAGAGCATCTGTGCGGCGCGGGAGGGCGAGGCCATAACACTGCGATTGTATCGGCGCGGCTTCAGTCATTAATGCTGATCCTGTTTCACATCATCTTCTTGCTTTTTTTTTGGAGGAGGAGGAGGAGGAGGGAGGAAGTGAAATGGTATTGTGGTTTATTTCTCACACCAGTGTTGAGGTTTTCAATGGCAATGCTGATCCGTGGCTGTGAACTGCGAGGTGCTGCCTTGCGGTGTCCTTCCCCTGTTATTCTGCTGCAAAATCTCCGTGGGCTGAGGGAGAACTACCCGCGCCAGCCCCCTTTCTCCACGCTGCGCCACCTCATTGATCCGCGGCCTGAGTGGGTCCCGCAACTCTGACACCCCCCACACACACACACACTCCAGCGGCCCCAAGCTGGGAAAACGACACCCGCCACTGACGTCGAAGCCGCCTGCCCACAGCTGTCAGAACCGCACGCCCGAACCGAACCGAACCGAATCACCGTCCGCTCTCGTATTGCTTTGAACAGCAGGGAGGCTTAGTCTCAAAACGCGCTGGGAAGCAATGCACCCATAGCTCCGATTCACGGAATCTGCTCGGTATTTGAAACCAGTTTTGGAGATCGCCCGTTGTCCGCGCTGAGCTGTGCAATGCGTTGGAACAGGCTCGTCTTGTAATCCCTTGCTAAAACGCAGAGTTATTATTAACCCTCGTGTTGATTTTTACAAGGTGATTAAATAGCGTAACACCGAGAAAAATGAGCGAGCGGAAAGGGCTGTCTGCGCGTCAGATGGCCAGGTTGTACGAGAGCGAACGTGCAGAGAGCTCTAATCCCCAGGGAGAGGACAGATAGCCTCGCCATTGATGGTTTTAATTCTCTCTGAAATGGACACGCTGATAAAAAAAAAGCAATTTCCCACGGCACAGTACAGTAGCACTGCGCCAGGGACGTTTTAAAGCAGCACTTTCCCTCGAAATAAACGCATCGCCACCCGAAAGAATGAGACGAGGCAGGTTTCACTCCTCAGACGAGTTTAGCGGCGGTTCCTCCGCTAAACCACAAATTCAGACCCCGGCACGAACGCCTGTTTTGGGTTGCGCCGGTGGAAGCCGCCGAGCCGCTTACGCGCGGATGGTCTTTGTCGTCGAGGGACGTCAGCGATCGTGGGATTATCAGCGACACCTGAACGACAGCCCATCGTTGGCACACACACACAAAAAAAAGAAAATACAATCGTACGTTGTCGATTGAACTTCAGTGGGCGAGGCTTCGCTACACCGGAGCTGGGGGAAATGATCGCCGCAGATATGTGCGTCCTTAAATGACGGGACCCGAGAGGTTTTACCGTTAAGCCGTACAATAAAAGACGACAACAGCGCCAGGAAAACCGCCAGGCGTGCGAATTAGAAACGACCCCCTTTGATTTACGCCGTCAAGACACACGAACGCCCTGCGCCGCATCGCCGCTCTTCTCCAAAGCCCATTTGAAAAGGATGGGCGGAGGTTTTTTTTTTAAATAACCCTCACCACCACCCCGGTCCAGTAACCAAGACAGAAAGGGAGAGAAGCAGCAATAAAATGAATACACCCCCCCAGACCCACGCCACAGCCCTCTTGCAGGGGAGAGACCAAAATGCGCACCGCAGCGACCAGGTCACGGGGACCTGCCGTGAGATTCCTGCCGGAGCCGCCGCCGCATCCCCGGCGACATCGCGTTCATCCCAGCCCGGGCCCCCCGCAAAACGCAAACCAGACAGATTTTTCTCTCCCCCCCCGCTGCAATTGTGAACAATAATGACGGAAAAGGAAGCGCGCTTACTTTCGCCGACCACAGCCTTCAGTCCGATGGGTGCCATGACGGTTGTGGAGAGTATCTGCCCGGTGGTGCCTGTCGCTGCCGCTGTTCCTGCCTGCCCTCAGCCGGAGAGAGGATGTTCACCGCGCATCGCAGCTGACTGCGGGGATTTCAGCGGAGGCGCTACGTCACCGCGCCGCCGTCCAATCCCCCGCCTCGTCCCCCCCGTCCCCCCCCCTCCCACGGCCGCGGCTGCTCCGCTCTGTACCGCAGCGGTGCGGGTCTGGGGCCGAGCAGAGCGCCCAGCCAACCGCTGGTCTCCTTATGTCCAGCCCGACGAGTTTACAGGTCACTTCTCGGACATCGCCGGGCCCACTGGCGACTCCGGGGCCGCTGGCTGTATCTTGGACTTTGAAGAACTTCCCTCTCCGGGGGGTTGAGCCCTGCAGGTTCGGCTGTAGACCGAGGAGCCTTCTGTGTGGAGTCTGTGTGTTCTCCCACTGCTCCTGCCCCCTGCCTCCCAGAGGCCTCCTGGCCCACACTGGTGCCCTGACAGATCCCAGGAGTCCCGTCCGGACTCTAGTCCAGGTTGTGCTCATTAAGGAGCTGAATCTCTTTAGTGAGGAAAAGAGGGGGGTCAGGAGGGCAGCACACAGCCATCACATATCCACGAGGGCAACAGAAAGGGGGCGTATGGGGGGTCAGCCGGAGCTCACACAGCTGAATGAAGAGGTGGAGTGCTTAGCTGCGATGGCTGGAGGTGTTTCTCTACACCGAGAGTGGCAGGAGCGTGGAACAGGCTGCCTGGCATTGTGTGGCGGAATGCAGCAGGCTGGGATCTTGCTTCTGTGGTGGAAAGCCACTCCACTGTTGGAGGGTTGTAGCCGAGACCGGGGTGTCCCGATTCCTAGGCGACTGTGGGTCTTGAGTTTCGGCGCGCTGACCCGGTCAGTGCGGTCAGTGTGGAGGAGGTTGATGACCTTGTCCTTTCCCACGCTGTGTGGAAAAAACCCGTGCACGCTTACTACCACGTCACTCATCATCCTGGCGGTCAAGTATTTTTAACTGTGCTCCGCAGCACGTTGTGTTTCTATGACTTAAAATGCTGACACGGGTCGGAGAGTAGATTCGGGTTAGTTTAATTCTTGGAAACTGACCGGGTGTGTGTATATGTCTGCTCACTACTTCACAGCGAGGATTTTGGAAGAGAATCGAGGCTGTGATTTTCGCCGAATCCTGGCGTGAGAAGCGAAGAAGGCTTTATTTCAGTTATTAACTGTAGTTAGATTTCAACACGGTTACAGAGAACTTTGCGAATGCTCACTTTTTTATACTAAAGTTCCTTTCCTTTTTTTCACATTCGCTACCAGGTGCACACGCTTACAATTATTCACAGCGTTATCGAACGGATTTAAGGATTTAGTCACAAGCTCCTGCTGAAAACCACAGCTTGGAAAAAAACAAAAAAAGTCCCTCCAAACCCGGAAGAGGGACAGAATTCCCAGGAAAGCACAGGAAATCGGAGCGGCCATTTTCACCGGTCATTGCAATACCCGAAACTGCCCACACGAGGGGGGTAGAGACCAGTTTTTCCTTTGCCCTTCCCAGCGAGGTGCCAGCTTCGTGCGAGAACTTCTCGCGTTCAGTAACCGA